CACCTGGTTAGACTTGTTTGGGTCTTGTGCGCTGGGTTTTGTTGGGTTTGTTTGGTTTATTTGGTTTGGCTATAGGTCTGGCAGGAGGAGGGATGGCACCACGGGTGGGAGATAGGCCCCACTGACCATTTTGGTCTGTTACTACCTCTATGTATTTCCTATGTTTATGATGTTTTTGTTTGGAGAACAGGCAGTGGGTACAGGTCCTCCTTACGGGTATGCTCTTACAAGGTAACCAGCAAAATGGGTTCATAGGGTCGACAGCCTAGCATGCGGTCGCGAGAGGTGGACATGTTGGTTGCCTCCTCCCTGCCATTATGCCGCCTGTTGACTTAATTTGTGTGTTTATTGGTTTTCTACTGGGGAGGAGGTTTTGCGGGACTGTTTTCAGACCAGGTGGTAGTGATTTTATGTTTGTTGGACGAGGAACCTGGTCAGGTTGGTCTTTTGCTCGGCTTCAGCTACGCTTAGTGCTGGTTGGCTTCATACCAGAGGGACTACAGACTCGGGCCCGGGCGGGCGCTGGGTTATTTGATGGTCTTGTAATTAGTTCTAGTGCAGGTATGACTCGAGGATGGCAGGTGTGGGGCCATAGACTTAGTTAGTTTAGAATTAGTAGTATACCGGTTAGCGGTATCCTTGTGCTGGCGGGGGCTCGTCGTATGCCAGTGTTGGCGGTACGAGTTTAAATAAAATTAGATTAAATTCTAAGTACTTTTCCTACTTATTACTTTAACGTATATAAGACACCTTTACAATCTTTATCTCTATTGCAATATTTGTCATTTTCACAGAGGAAAGCGCCTCATGGAGAAGAGTTAGAGAAAGCTTATCATAGGCGTTCCTGATAGAAGACAGAGGTCTTGTACTATTGGTAATGTAGGTAGAGGCCTAGTGCTATCGTAAGATAAAGAAAGAGGAGAGAAGTATTGTTCTCCATCACCACGAAGTAACCATCTGAGGAGGGATCGTTGCACAAGTAGTCTTTACAGCATGCTTCACCCATCTAACGTAGTCTCCCCATATTCAAACACATCCTCTCCAACTCATCTCCCCACTAGCTATACCCACTACTATCTCTGGGTATCCAGGACATTCCATCCACCTAACGAGAAATGAGTCTAAGCAATTCCCCATCTGGGGCAGTCTTCGCATTGTTTCAAACTTTCCTGAGCCTACTCCAATCTGCCTTCCTCCAGCAGGGCCAGGCCTTGATAATATCGTTGAGCAAACTCACCTGGCACTTAATAATCAATACCATGTGCTTTGCACTAACCTGGTTCAAGTACCTCCACTTCAGGAGCGGGATTGGATGTACCACGAGATCAATATATGATATACCATTGAATGTCGGTTCTGGGTACCTTTTCACCTTATACTCCTGTTCCACGACAAAGTCCCTAACCCAACGCCTGTGCCTGCTCGCTCCTCCAATCCCTTGCCTGCCCCACATACCATCCTCTGCCTTGAAGTCCCCCAATAGCACATCCACCCCCTCAATGACTTCAAGCATACGATCCACCTCACCTTCACTCATCACAGGGTTCATCTATACACCCCCACACAACCTCTCAAACCCTCTCCCATCAATAAAGGAAATAATACATATATACACCTTGTACCAAATAACATTAAACAGCCCAACCCTACCGGCATGAGCCTACACTTCAACACCACTCCCTTTAACAAAGGAAACCAACTCCATTCCACCATGCTCACTATCTACAACACCCCCATCAATACTACACGGCGGCTCCAAAACAAGAAAAAATCAACAAAGGAAAACACCTCAAACATCCCCTCACAGTTTCTTAGCCCCCTTCCCACATTTAATACACATATTGTACTATGCATTAAAGCGGGATTCAGTGGCGCCACTCGTCCCTGTGGGCACCAACCCCAGGAAGAAACCCATACCATCTAAGCCACCACTACTCCATGTCAACGACTCACCCTCCTTGTTCCGGACTTAATCTGATACCCCCCTCTTGAAATACTTCAGCGATGGCATGTCTTCCATTGGAGTCAGCTCCTTCGCCTCGTATTCAGCCACCGCTTTCCCTTTGGCCGCCTTCCCCTCACTCCTCTTGGCCTTCTTGGCTATCTTCTTAGCCTCAGCCTTCTTCTTCACCAACTGGGCCTTATCGACCCCCCCAACCATCTCCCCGGCCGCCTTCTGCTTCACCACCCTCTCCTGGGGCTGGGTCGGCGGGAGTCCTACGGTTTTGCGCATCTCGCGGTTTACCGATTGATCGGCCACACCGATCCTGCTGGTATCATCAGCAACCAGCGGGGACTTACTGGGCAATCCACCGGGCTTCCCAAATTTCCTCACTGCCAGGCACCCATCCCAGCCGGTGAAGTGATCCGACCTTTCGCAGAGCAGACACAACCGCCGATCATGCTCACAGGCCTCACCAATCCTTCCCGAACAGCCCACCACCGAGCACTGGTGCTCTCTCGCCAGGTGACCGTTCCTACACCACCGACACCGGGCCTTGAAGCCGCAGGTAATGGGGGAGTGCCCGATCGACAGGCACTTCCCGCACACCATAGCCGGCTTGTGCTCTTCCCAAGCCCGAACCGGTCTCAACCCCCCCCTCAAAAACATCACTCCTTTCCGGAGTGCCTCCTCAATCGCCGTGTTCCGGTCAATGATGAACCGGATGCTACAACTCTTAGCCTTCCGTTGCTTCATCGCAAATATCGACCCAAGCAGGTTCGGCCGACCGGACACGTGGCCGGCCTACCCGGGGCCTTCCTCTTCACCACCTCCGTCCACGCCCCACTGGCCAGCGCAGCCGGCCCCGTCGGTACCGACACAGTAGCCGGTTCAACCACTGTGGCCCTCTCTTCCTTGGCCGGTTTCGGGGCAGGCATCCGGGGCACCGCAGGCCTATTGTCCTTGCCCGTACCCTTTCCACCCCCAATCTTTCCCGTGCCCGTCCCAGCAGCCTTTCTTACAGACTGGGCCACAGGGGCCGACGTCACACTAGTTTTCCCTTTATCAGCATCCAAAGGGGGGGCACCATACCATGACCGCTGGTCATCCTTAAAACACGAAGTTCCCGGATCTCACCCTCCAGCCGGTCAATCCTCTCCTCATGTTCCTCCACCAACCGGAGCAACCTCTCAACCACACCCCTCAAACCACCATAATCCTCCTCCGTCACGGCCGGCAGATTCTGTCCTTGGGCCATCTCCTCCAAACACTCCAACATCCCAACATCCACCAAACTGGGTGGGGGCGTGCTCATGTCCATCGGAGTAGACGGCACCCACACACCGGTCCCCTTCTCACCACTCAACCCAGTCGAGGGCAGTGTGAGTTCAACACCACTCGGGGCAGCCCACTTGCTGTCCCCAAGCCCATCAACCTTGGAGCTCCTCCCGTCCCCAAGCTCCATCCTCGAATCGCACCCCACCACCACCCCAACAGGGGGGAACAACTCACCTCTCCAAATGTGTCTGGAACTTCAGACACCGCCAGCATCTTCCTCCCCCCCTCCACCGGCAGCCTGTCCCTGGGCTCAAAATGGCACGCCGGAGACGTGGACCACTCGATAGCCTCACTGGGGGGACTCGACCCCAACCTCTTCCCCTCCAAATTCACCAATTCGCCAGCATCAAGTCGACGTTTTGGGACAACCGGTCGCCTGCATTCGATCGATTGGCCAGTAGATGGCATCGGGACGGCCGGTTCGAGCCTGCGTTCTGTCGGCGCATTGCCAACAGCGGCTCTGGTTGGTCCCTTCGACGCCGGGGCAACCCCTCGTTTCACGGGCGACGCATAGTCCCCGTCACGCGAATCATCGTCGCGATATCTTGCATAGAGCTTACGCTCACCGCTAGATAAGCCGGACAACAATTCCTCCATCCCACCCGTCTTTTTCTCCCTCCGCCCCCCCCCCACAACGCGGACCAGTCCCAAACACCCCTTTCTTCTCCTGCACATCCTTCCACCTACCAGAGGTGGGCCGTGCCGTTTCCATACCAGCGAACACCCCCAACCGTTCCGCCGGCATCCCGTAAACCCTGTTACCAGACCCGTCCCCTCCAGTACACGCTCTCACCCCCTCTTCCAACTAGGCCTCCGATACCTCCCCAAAGGAGGCTGCCCACACCGAAACCGTAGATGCCGCAGGGGCAAAGCTCGAATCCCCGGCCGAATCGTATCGCCGAAGCAGTCCGAATGCCTCCCCGTTGGCCACACCGCACTGCTCATGGCAGCCGCGTGCACCCAGAAAACCCCCCACAATCCCTTCAACCTCCTTGTACGTTCGGGGGCCCTTGTTAGGGACCACTATCCTCACGCACTTGTCAAAATCCTCATCACAGGCATTCCGACAACCATATACATGGTTAAACTGGAGGAACCCAAAGTCCCATCCAGAAACATCGTACGACCGCGTAGTAATCGGTACCAGGGCACGGCCGCCCCGGGGAAGAGCACTGGTATGGCCACCAGCAGAGGAGGAGGAGGAGGAGGAAGAGGAGGAGTCCCTAGCCATCGGCGACGATGACCGGACTGTTACAAAGTCCCCAGGGGGAACCTTGCGGGCATCCATGGGCACTACTCAAGAAAAGTAGCCCCAGGAAATCGAAAATTCGTAGAGATGTAAACAAAAATTTGTTTCAAGAAGCCGTGATAATTCAGTTTTAGCCAATAAAAAACAAAAGATTGTGAGCACTGGAGGGGTAACTTATGGGGTCTGGTAGAAGGAAGGGACATGAGCAGGAAACCATTAACCGGAACAGGGATATGTTTGGCTAGTTAACCTTTTTGCCAGGCTGTTGAAACTTGGCAACCAAAAACCTTCCCTCCAAACAAAAAGAAAGAGCCACCTGCATTGCCCCTCCCCCTTCTTTTTTTACCCTGTGTCTTCGCTCATTTATGGCCGTATTTTCACACATTGTTTATCTCCCTTCCTTCACCCCTCGAAGCCACTAGACGGCTTCCCTATCCCCGGTGCACCTTCCTTCTCCCTAACCTCATCATCATGAGCCGGACCGAACCGTCCAACATATCTCCCCCCGCGCCCAGGCAGGGACTTGCAAGAGCCGCAAGCTATAACGCCGCACTTCACATTAGAGATCTCCACGGAGCGCCTCCTACTCCAAACGAAGACCTCACAACTCCAGTTGAAATAATTACGCCCGAGGGCAAACGCGTCTTGATTAAAAACTCTGGGATTGTGCATACGGTTTCGCATAAGAATTGTGTGCTTACCGAGTCCGCGTTGCAATTGGTCGCAACCCTCTTCTACAACCCCAATCAGTCCCTAATCACAGTCGACGGAGAAGAAATCAATGTTGAGAAACAATATGTCAATTTCGGACCCTACATTTCAGACATGGCTATGTTCGAGTTCATCCAGACAATTGATGAGTTGCATGTGCCATGGAAGAAATGGGGGACCAACCATCGTTGCCTCGACTCTGCTGAACATCCAAAAGTCATGGAGATCACTCTGTCCATGCCAGAAATGTTACACCTTAGTGAATTAAGAAGACACACTAGCCTATGGAAGTTCGAGAGGAAGTGGAATGTCGAGCTTGTTTTACAGGAGAATGATATCTTCAGGCGGCACAAGCGTCTTGCTGTGTTCGACATGGACTCGACATTAATCGAGCAGGAAGTTATTGACGAGATCGCCAAGTTCATTGGGGTAGAGGACCAGGTTTCGGTATTGTTTGCCCCCCGAAACCTATTCCCTATCCAGCTCCTAATCCATTATAGTCTATCACCGCCCGTGCAATGAATGGGGAAATAGACTTCACAGAATCTCTTCGACAGCGAGCTGCACTTCTAAAAGGAGTCCCCTCAACAGTATTTCAGCAACTTAGATCCAGCATCACTTTTACCCCAGGTGTCCGCGAGCTATGCCGTGCGCTTAAGACCCTTGGGTACAAACTGGCAGTTCTCAGTGGCGGGTTCATTCCGTTGGCTGAGTATGTTAAAGGGCAGCTTGATTTCGATTACGCTCACGCAAATAATGTATGAATAGCACTCGGAAAGAATACCCGATAATCTGCTAACCAAGGATGCGATAGCTCGTTGTTTCGGAAGACGGTAAATTTCTCACTGGGGACCTTAGTGGCCCCATCGTGCATGCAGAGCGTAAAGCGCTCTTGCTCGAAGAGATCGCCAAAGAGAACGGGATCGCTCTTGAACAAACTATGGCAATCGGGGACGGTGCAAATGATCTACTAATGATGAAGAAAGCTGGTCTCGGCATTGCGTTTAATGCAAAACCTTCTGTTCAGGTTGCGGCACCCGCAAGACTCAACTCAGAAACCATGCTAGACGTCTTGTATATCCTAGGGTTTACTAAGGAGGAGATCCAGGCATTACTTGCAGTTGCGGGCTAGGTGGGGTTGCCGCGTCTTTTTTTTTTTTTTTTACTTCTTCGATCTAACCCAGTTTTTCACTGAGGTTTCTTTGTGCTTATTTTCACTTTCTTCTTTTCGTTCATAGCTATGAGGGAGGTAGTGTAGCTTCAGGGCCTGTGTCCCCGACCTTAAGAAACTCTAGTCGATTGAGTCTAGGCATACGGCATTCTAGCGGTCAATCGGCCCTCGTAGCTCAAAAGTAACTCCAAAGGTTTGAGAAGGTTTGCGAGTGATCGTCGGTGATCACTACCACAATCGCCGCATTATTGGAAGATCCCACTCGGGGATTTTTAAGGCACTGTATTCGGAACTCGAGTTGCCCGGTTGTAGGAGTTGGTTGCAGTTATCTCCACAAAATTTGTTACCTGCGGAGGAACCAGTTATACGTACGATAACTGGATCGTTTGCCTTTCCCGTTCTGAATACTTGAAAAACCGCACAGTACTGTATTGTGCAATTGAAATTAAATCCCAAGAGGCCTTCGCAGATGCAACAATCTAGTGCAGCTGGAAATTCCACGACGTCGTTGCGGTGAGACACCATTCTCGGGGTTTCCGCGGAATCTAAGAGCATGCCCTCACGATGAAAGGCTATGATAATTCGATTGGCTCCACGATCTCAGCGAGCATTTGTGGGCTGATTTGAGGCGCACGCCCTTATCCCCATCTCTATTATATCTGCCCTCTCTTAGCTTTCTTGACCGATCCCAAGTCCACGACATGATAACAAGAATCAACAAATCACTTTTTCAAAAATAATAATATGTGGTAACGGAATAGCCAAATAACTGAAATCTGGCTGTTCAGCCTTAGGCACTGCGGTCAAGGACTTTCCAGGCACAGGCACTGTAGGGGTGGGGGGGAGGGGTGCTGGGCACATGTCAGCAGAGTGTGTTCACTACATTTGCAATGTTTACGGATCGTCTCACTAACTACCGGCCAGCAGTATGGAGGACACAAACCGCACATGACATTTGATAGTTGATACCTCAGACATCCAGTCCGAAGTACAATTATTAACACTACTTTATCTTAATCACTCGTCTCTAAGGTGTATCTCACGGACAACACCTCGTAGTCTGCTGGCCTGCGATGGCCATGGGCACCATAGCGCGTCGAGCCACCGGACATGCGCAAGGCTCCGGCCAGTTATCCCACAAGTACATACTACACGGGTGAGGATACTCAAAACCCGAAAAGGAACTGGAAAACCAGCTATTGGTTTCTGGGATCGCACAATAATATATTCGTCCTTGGTATAATATGTTAGAATTGCGCACCTACGCATATGGATACAACCCCTGGCGCATGATGCACAATGACACTATATCCCAGGAATCCCATAGGCTTTCGTACCGAACCACCATAAAACTCAAGATGGAGTCTACCCTGTCCAGTTGATCTTTCTCTGCGTCCCCTGTTTTTCCAATTGCGGGAGTTGACGGATGACCAGCAACGTTTTTGAGATGGGGGCGTTTTGTATAGGGAAAAAGCAGTGAAGGGTATGGGCCCATGCCAACCAAAAATTTCCGATGTATGATATTGGCACGTCTAATTAAGAAACAGGGCTTGTTGCTTAACCCGGGTTGCTTAAAGCATGGACAAGTCCGGAAACAGAATTCGATTAAACCCGATTGGCCGCCTTGGGTCTTGTGTTATGATTCGAGGATTCGAGAACGCCTCTCTTGCCTAGGATTTGGAGATTGCTTCTATTGTGTATCATACCTTTCTGTCGGCCTTTAAGTCTACTTTATCCCAGCCTTGTTGGCCGTTATGGGAAAGATGTCTTTTTCATGGGTAATCACTCGGGTACAACATACAAGGGATTCTCACTTCCTCCGTCTTTGCTCAGGCGAAGAAGATCAAATATGAAGCACTAAGGGCAAAAGGCTTCCAGCTGAGGGCTGAAGCAGCTGCGGTGAGCATGGGATATCTAATACTATCTGATATCGTCAAAATGCGCACTCGGGCATCAAGTGGAGACTCATAGCCGGTACTAACCTCTCCAAGTCCTTTTTTCCCTTGCACCACTCCCACGGCACAACTGTGCTCCATGCTTACCTCACACCAAATATCTATTCAATCCGACGAAAATTCCCTAAGGAATTTACGTCATTGTCGCTACGTAGCCTCAATTTTGCTACACTTACCTTCTCCTCTGGCCATTTCCTACGAGAAATCCGCAGCTGAACTAGCCAGGCTAACAGCACTACCCTCGGCCTTGGTTCCAACAGGACCCAGAGTACACTACATGATTTCGAGGGCTCGAAAGATCACGGGTACAAACACTTTCGGGAATTCTGCATACCGCCTCACCATTGTAGGGCTGTCTAAGCTGGATATTGAGGATCCGTGAGTCTGTCGTGCTCTGCCTCTTGAGCGTTTTTCGGATATGTGATTTTTTATGTGAAGGATGAGTGATACCCACTGCAGACAGGTCTGGCAGACTTCGCACGTCTTTGGGTTATAAAAGTCTGAAATCCCCGACTCTCGGACAGACCGTCCAACTCAACATCTTGCAAACATTTATTTGCACAATTCAAAATCTCTAAACGTCTTTGGGACAAAGTCCTCCTGAACAGCAGTTTCCAGATAGCATCGCGAACAGCCCGGTATGCTTCTACCACATTCTTGCTCAATCCCCTTCAATCGCACCCTATGAGCAATCAGAGGTTATCGTGATATATTCAAACTAACGCCAAAACAAACAGTAGATTATTTCTGGTCCTCCAACAAACAAGAAAACACCCGAAAACTCCGAGACCCCCCATCCCTGCCATCACCTCAGGATGCCATCCCTATCCATCATACCCGTCAACCCGCCGTCGAGGGAGCAAACGATCCGGGACGCCATTTCGAGTCTTTTTAGGGACGAAGCTTCGCTCCGTGATATCGCTGGTAAGCTAACGCATAAACCCCTCTGGTTGCACCTAACCATACTCTGCCCCCCTCCTCTGCTAACCAATTCCCCTCCCGTCCGAACAGAACCAATCAGCAGCGAGCAAACCGAAATCTGGTTGCGGTTCGTCGTGCCTCGGATTGAGGAGGCCTACGGCGTCCCGGTGGACGCGGTTCAGGGTAGGATGCTCGATAGAGCCCTGGATGAAATAAGGAGGATATTTTCCCAGCTGGGGGAAGCGCCGGACAAGGTTCTCGGGTACGTCCTCACAGGTCGTAGGGGTGGTAATACCGGGGCTCAATAATGCGCTCGATGGTATCGGAGGATTCTGAGGAATTTGGGTATTGGTCTGGAGGGCATTACCGATGAAATCCTGGCGGGGAAATCCTCGGGAGGGAGGGATGAGTTATGAAGGCATTGGGCCGTCTTTTCATTATTGTTGTTAGGAGGAGGTGGTGAGGAGGAGGAGGAGGAGGAAGAGGAGGAAGTTTCCCAATTCAACTTTTGTTTTTTGCTGTTTCCCTTTTTCAGGACGTCTTTCATTTTTCCTTGTGCCGAGGCTCAAGCATCCCCCTGACCGTTGTGTTTTGTTTCTGTTCGCTTGCTTTGTCTGCCAGTTTGTTCAGTTCTGGCATTTCTTCGTTGTCTGTCCGGTTGCCTATCTTCCCATCCTACTGGCTTCATGCCAGCTGGTTAAGTAGAAGCCAACCGGTTAACTATGACCGTATTTACGCTCTTCTTACGCTCTTTAAAATAAAAAACCCCCATTAGGATATGATACCTTCACTTTATCCTTTTTGTGAAACAATGGTCGTTAGACTGCTTATTATACTGTAGCGGTATTACATTCACAGCAGAACTGCAACACCACGCTAAAAGGCTGACAAAAGTGACGGTTCTGATTTTTTACACTCTCCATGTTAATCCTCATAAATTATTATGCGAATATGCCTACAAGCAACTAAAAGTCTAAGGGTTCAAAGTATGGACCTTATTTAACTAACCAAGTTACAGATAATCAAGTTACAGCCCGCCTAACACAGGCAGTTCTGTACCACTGGGGCTTTATATTTCACCTAGCAATGTAAACACCAAAACCATGCCTGGATACACATCCCGGTAGGAAAAAAGGCACCTAACATCCCTGCCGCCTCAAAGCATCCAGAATTTCAACACGTTGCTCTAAATGAATAAATCCTCCGACTTTTCCCGGATCTCGTGATGACCAAATAGTAAGTCGCGTGTACTAAGCGACTAGATAGTAGCTTTTGCACAGGGCGCGCCGGTGTCAACCGGGTTTATTATACGGTGTCTCTTTGCCCCCCCCCCGCACAACCGGAGCGCAACCAATGCCACTGGTCCACCGGCATAGCACCGTACACAAATTCGACAATGCCGATCAGATTAATGTGCGGCAGGAAGGGAATCGGTAATGGCGGTATGACAGCGCAAAATAACTACGTAGCGACTAACCGGACTAGGCGGCAGGTTGTGCCGGGGGTGGGGGATGAACCACGGCCTCCCTCGGATGAGTCGGCATTCTTCACCCGGGCCAAGTGCGATATCTCCTCCCTCTACTGGGGGAGGCGCTGGTTCTCGCTACCGTGTCGTTCTCGGCGCCCTATCGGGTAGTCTAGTTGATTGATCGATTGATTAATTGCGGGGAATAATGTTATATGGTAAGATAGGGAAGAAGCTCAACTTCCCACGCTCAACGGCACAATCTTCATCTTTAACTCGGTCAGTTGACGTTTCGCCTCTCCCCCCTTCCCTCCCGGCCCGATGAGTACTCGAGTATAGCACGGTAGTATGGCCGCGGGCTGCCCAGCGGCTGTGTAGGAGATGTGTACTTGCAGAATGCAAGAAATCTCGAATGGTGGGTATGTGAATACCATCCCGAAACTTCTCTCGTCGGAGAAGTCAAATCTTTGAACCGGGTTCAAGTGTCAGAGCCAAGTAGGGCAAACATCCAATGGAAAAATTCACCGCGACAACTTCCCCGCTCACTCCAAATACTCTTGTGCCGTTACCCTGCCGTGTGCTATGTGATACTGTGGAACGGGCGGGGGCTCACCGACTGCCTGTATGATACTGTAAATACAGAGATGTATGATACAAGTACTGTACTGTACTCGTACTCTACGCCCATTCATTTCAGATTCACCTCGCGCAGGAGCCATCACTTGCACCCCGTGTATAACTATGGAACATCCGATGACGCGGGTA